TCTCGTGTTTGTCGTGTTCTGTTTGTCGTGTTTGTCGTGTTCTCGTGTTTGTGTTTGTCGTGTTTCTCGTGTTTGTCGTGTTCTGTGTTCGTGTTTGTGTTTGTCGTGTTCGTGTTTGTCGTGTTTCGTCGTGTTTCTGTTCGTGTTTGTCGTGTTCTCGTGTTTGTCGTGTTCTCGTGTTTGTCGTGTTTCTCGTGTTTGTCGTGTTCTCGTGTTTGTCGTGTTCATGTTTGTGTTTGTGTTTCTCGTGTTTGTCGTGTTCGTGTTTGTCGTGTTCTCGTGTTTGTCGTGTTTGTGTTTGTCGTGTTCGTGTTTGTCGTGTTCTGTTTGTCGTGTTTGTCGTGTTCTCGTGTTTGTCGTGTTCTCGTGTTTGTCGTGTTCTCGTGTTTGTCGTGTTCGTGTTTGTCGTGTTCTCGTGTTTGTCGTGTTCATGTTTGTCGTGTTCTGTGTTTGTCGTGTTCGTGTTTGTCGTGTTCGTGTTCTCGTGTTCGTGTTCGTGTTCATGTTTGTCGTGTTCTCGTGTTCGTGTTCGTGTTTGTCGTGTTCTCGTGTTTGTCGTGTTCATGTTTGTCGTGTTCTCGTGTTTGTCGTGTTCATGTTTGTGTGTTGTTCGTGTTCTGTTCGTGTTTGTGTCGTGTTCGTGTTTGTCGTGTTCTGTTTGTCGTGTTTCGTGTTTGTCGTGTTCGTGTTTGTCGTGTTCTCGTGTTTGTCGTGTTCTGTGTTTGTCGTGTTCTCGTGTTTGTCGTGTTCTCGTGTTCTCGTGTTTGTCGTGTTCTCGTGTTTGTCGTGTTCTCGTGTTTGTCGTGTTTGTTTTGTCGTGTTCTCGTGTTTGTCGTGTTCTCGTGTTTGTCGTGTTCTCGTGTTTGTCGTGTTCGTGTTTGTCGTGTTCGTGTTTGTCGTGTTCGTGTTTGTCGTGTTCGTGTTTGTCGTGTTCTCGTGTTTGTGTTTGTCGTGTTCTTGTTTGTATGTTTGTCGTGTTCTCGTGTTGTCGTGTTCGTCGTGTTTGTCGTGTTCTCGTGTTTGTCGTGTTCTCGTGTTTGTCGTGTTTGTCGTGTTCGTCGTGTTTGTGTTTCTCTCGTGTTTGTCGTGTTCGTGTTCGTGTTCGTGTTTGTCTGTTCGTGTTTGTGTCGTGTTCGTCGTGTTTGTCGTGTTCGTGTTCGTGTTTGTCGTGTTCTGTGTTTGTCGTGTTCGTGTTCGTGTTCGTGTTCGTGTTCGTGTTGTTTGTCGTGTTTCGTGTTCGTGTTCGTCGTGTTTGTCGTGTTTGTCGTTCGTGTTCGTGTTTTGTCGTGTTTCGTTCGTGTTGTCGTATGTTTGTCGTGTTTGTCGTGTTTGTCGTGTTCTCGTGTTTGTCGTGTTCTTGTGTTTGTCGTGTTTGTCGTGTTCGTGTTTGTCGTGTTCTCATGTTTGTCGTGTTCTGTTTCGTGTTCGTGTTCGTGTTCGTGTTCTCGTGTTTGTCGTGTTCGTGTTCGTGTTTGTCGTGTTCTCGTGTTTGTCGTGTTCTCGTGTTTGTCGTGTTCTCGTGTTTGTCGTGTTCGTGTTTGTCGTGTTCGTGTTCGTCGTGTTTGTCGTGTTCGTGTTTGTCGTGTTTGTCGTGTTCGTGTTTGTCGTGTCGTCCAGACAAAGCTCCTCGTCTTTCGGCTCTGGCCTCTCTCTCTCTGGAGCCACTCTCCTCTCGTCTATTTGCTCTTTTCAATTATTAACACGACGCAAAACAAAAAGCTCAGGAACCAGAAAAGAATAGGACAGAAAAGTGCCATATTCTACAGCTGACCTGGCAACGCACAGACGCACAAACGCACAAACACACAAACACACAAACACACAGAAACACACAAACACACAAACACACAAACACACAGACGCACAAACCGACAAACAACGGCACTATTGACTCGCACATGTTTTATTGATGCTTTTTATTCTCAGCCTCGTCGTCTTGGATTGTTTTTATTATTCGTCAGGTCGAAGACTTGGACACTTTTGTCGGACTAAAAAACATAAAAATTGTGTTTGTGTGTCCTGTACGGACTCTCGTGAGCTTTTAACGAGTGTTCAAGACCAAGACCAGGACCAGGACCAGGACCAGGACCAGGACAAGACCAAACAAGACCAAAACAAGACCAAACAAGACCAGGACAAGACCAAGACAAGACCAGGACAAGACCAAGACCAAGACCAAGACAGGACAAGACCAAGACCAAGACCAGGACAAGACCAAGACCAGGACAAGACCAGGACTTTAAAAGGTCAAGACCAAGACCAAATCAGGACAATCTGTGTGTCATTCGTTGATTCATTTTTCTAAATAAAACCAAAAATAAGAAAAAAAAAAAAAACAAAAAAAAAATTTTCTTGATTATTTGACTCCAAAACCAAATTGAAAAAAAGAAAATGATTTGTTTTTTTTAGTTTTTAATTTTGTGTTTAAATGAAAAATGGAAAAAACAGATAACGAACTAAACCAGGACTAAATCAGGTCTAAACCAGGACTAAACCAGGACTAAACCAGGACTAAACCAGGACTAAACCAGGACTAAACCAGGACTAAACCAGGACTAAACTAAACCAGGACTAAAATCCAGGACTGAAACCAGGACTGAACCAGGACTGGAAACCAGGACTAAACCAGGACTAAACCAGGACTAAACCAGGACTAAACCAAGGACTAACCCAGGACTAACTAAACCAGGACTAAACCAGGACTAAACCAGGACTAAACCACTAAACCAGGACTAGTTTTTTTTCATTTTTTAATTTTATTTTATTTTTTTTTGGTTTTATTCTGAAAAATGAAGCAATGAACGATACACAGATTAAACTGGTTTAAAAAATTTGTGGACCAAGATTTTTGTGAGGAACCCAAATAAAAGCCTGGTCCCAAATAAAAGCCTGGTCCCAAATAAAAGCCTCGTCTGTTAAATGACTGAAACAAATAAACTCCCTCGATATTATTTGTTTTTTTTACTGTAAATGTGCAGGGTTTTGAGAGTTAAACGTGGGCCCTTTTACGTAATATTTGCTTTATTTTTTATTTACTTTTCCATGATTTTGAGTTAGATATTAACAGCTTTTGGAGTTTTCTTGCCCACTGACCGTTGACCCGGCGCTTCCTCTGATCCTTCGCGGGGATCGGTTATTTTCTGATTCAGCAAAAGAGTTAATTAGTGTCCAGTCCGAGCCCTCCTCTCGCTCTTTTGTCTCCGCTCTGACGTGATGGAGCCGCCTTCGCTCTCTCTCTCTGCAGGTCATCGCTCTCCGGTTAAACATTAAAACCCGTGAACTCAAGACCGGACATGTTCTCAAGGAGCAGAGACGAAACCAAACAGAGACGCACGACCGGCGCAAACATTGGAGCAGAAATATAAAAAAAACAACAAAAAAAAACAACTCAGAGCGGAGGAGGAGTGAGCAGAGACACAAGCACAGGCCTTCAGGTGTCAGGAAACAAAACTGTAGTCCACATAAGTCCTCTAAAGTCTACATAAGTCCTCTATAGTTCAGATAAGTTCTCTATAGTCTACATAAGTCCTCTATAGTCTACATAAGTCCTTTATAGTCCTAATAAGGACCTTATAGTCTACATAAGTCCTCTATAGTCTATAAGTCCTCTATAGTAGATAAGTCTCTATAGTCTACATAAGTCTCTATAGATCTATCTTAGTCTCTATAGTCTAGTCATATAGTCCTTTATAGTCAGTTCTCTATAGTCTACATAAGGCCTCTGTAGTCTACATAAGTCCTTTATAGTCCTAATAAGGACCTTATAGTCTACATAAGTCCTTTAGAGTCTACATAAGTCCTTTAAAGTCTAAATAAGTCCCCTTTAGTCTACATAGGTCCTCTATAGTCCACATAAATTGTCTACACTCTTTATAAGGTCTCTATAGATACTTATAACTCCTCTATAGTCCACATAAGGCCTTATGTAGTCCACATATGCCCTCTATAGTCTATATAAATCTTCTATAGCCCACGTAAGTCCTGTATATTTTACATAAGGCCTCTATACTCCACATCAGTCTTCAACAGTCCACATAAATCCTCTACAGTCTACATAAGTCCTCTATAGTCTACATAAAGTCCTCTGTAGTCCACATAAGTCCTCTATAGTCCCCATAAGTCCCCTATAGTCTACATAAGTCCTCTATAGTCCACATACTGTAAGGCCTCTATAGTCTACATAAGTCCTCTGTGGTCAACATAAGTCCTTTATAGTCCACATAAGGCCCTTATAGGCTACATAAGTTCTCTATAGTCTACATAAATCCACATAAGTCTTCAATAGTCCACATTAATCCTCTATAATCTTTATATGTCCTCTATAGTCTACATAAATCCTGTGTAGTCTACATAAGGCATCTGTAATCTACATATGTCCTCTATAGTCCACATATAGTCTACATAAGTTCTCTATACCCCACATAAGTCTTCTATAGTCTACATAAGTTCCCTTTAGACTACATAAGTCCTCTATAGTCCACATAAGTTCTCTACACTCTTTATAAGGCCTCTATAGATACTCATAACTCCCCACATAAGGCTTCTATATTTTACATAAGTCCTCTGTAGTCTACGTAAGTCCTTTGTAGTCTACATAAGTCTTCTATAGTCTAAATAAGTCCTCTATAGTCCACATAAGTCCTTTATAGTCTTCATAAGGTCTCTATAGTCTAATAGTCCTTTATAGTCGACATAACATCTATAAAAAAAAAAAAAAAAAAAAAAAAAACTCAAAACAGGACCTTCAGGAAACAACTCTGTGACTTTAAAGATGCACTACGTAACTTTTCACACTCCGTGGATATTGTTTTGTCTTTGTTTTTCTAGAAAGCCAGTGTGAAGTCAACTTTTTATTTAATTTATTTTGTTTTTTATTGCTGAAAATGAAACTTAAAAACATGTGTTCTTCGTGCTCGCCTCTCCGCAGATCTGACACGTCAGGTAGAAAAGTGACTCGGTGTGACTCGGTGTGACTCGGTGTGCGTCCCGTTCACACTCACCCGTGTTGGAGTGCAGGTCTTCGTTGTCGGACTCGTTGCCGTTCTGTAAACTCATCATCATCTTCATCTTCTGGAGCTTCTGGAGCTCGGCCATCGCAGCCGCCGTCAGACCTGAAAAAAGAGCCAGAAAAGAGCCACGGTTACACAGGAGAGCCACAGAGAGCCAGACACACGAGACACAGAGAGCCACGAAGAGCCAAGAGCCACGGTTACACATGAGACCACAGAAGAGCAGATTACACGAGAGCCACAGAAGAGCCACGGTTACACAGGAGAGCCACAGAAGAGCCACGGTTACACATGAGAGCCACAGAAGAGCCACAGTTACACAGGAGAGCCACAGAAGAGCCACGGTTACACAAAAGAGCCACAGAAGAGCCACGGTTACACAGAGGGAGCCACAGAGAAGCCACGGTTACACGAAAGAGCCAGAAAAAAGCCACGGTTACACACAAGAGCCAGAGAAGAGCCACGGGTAGACAAAAGAGCCACAGAAGAGCCAGAGAAGAGCCACAGTCACAAAAAAGAGCCAGAAAAGAGCCACGGCTACACAAAAGAGAAGAGCCACACAAGAGCCAGAGAAGAGCTGGAGAAGAGCCAGAGAAGAGCTACAGTTACACCAAAGAGCCACACAAGAGCCACAGTTACACAAAAGAGCCACACGAGAGCCAGAGAAGAGCCACGGTTACATAAAAGAGCCACACATGAGCCACAGTTACAGAAAAGAGCCACACAAGAGCCACAGTTAAACAAAAGAGCCACAGAAGAGCCACAGTTTCACAAAAGAGCCAGAGAAGAGCCACACAAGAGCCAGAGAAGAGCCAGAGTTACACACAAGAGCCAGAGAAGAGCCAGAGTTACACACAAGAGCCAGAGAAGCGCCACCGTTACACACAAGAGCCAGAGAAGAGCCAAAGAAGAGCCACAGCTCCACACAAGAGCCAGAGAAGAGCCAGAGTTACACAAAAGAGCCACGGTTACACACAAGAGCCACAGAAGAGCCACGGTTACACAGAAGAGCCAGAGAAGAGCCACGGTTACACACAGGAGCCACACAAGAGCCAGAGAAGAGACACAGAAGAGCCACAGTTAGACATGAGAGCCACACAAGGCCCGAGAAGAGCCACGGTTACACACGAGAGCCACACAAGAGCCACGGTTACACACAAGAGCCAGAGAGGAGCCACAGTTAGACACAAGAGCCACACAGGAACCCGAGAAGAGCCAGAGAAGAGCCAGAGAAGAGTCAGAGAAGAGCCACACTTAAGCCCAATTTAAGGTTGTGCGTCAAATCGTTTGCGTCGCCTTGAACCTCCTCTGCCGAGTGTTTGTGTCTGAACATTTTCTACGTTTTCTAACTTTTCGCGACACAGACAAGAGCCTCAGTGAGCTTCATTTGACTCGTTCGCGTTTCTTTAAACCGTCCGCGGCCTCAGTTTTCGGCTCCTCAGAGTTTCCTTCTTGCGTCCAGAAGCGTCGGCTCCGGTTGACGTTTGAAAAGGTCGGCCCCGGGTTCAGGTTTGGGTCGTTTTAGATTTTTCCCGTCCGTCCGTCGGCGTTTTATTAAATTCCTCGGCGCGGCGTCTCACAGCGGCGGCCATCTTGTGTTCTTCTTTGTGACGGACATTCCACCGGGTCCTGAACCGTGACCAGAGCCAGACTCCCGCTGCCCTCCTCCACACGTACCAGATCTGAGACGCACAAAAAACCCACGCAAAAACCGACACAAACACTACAAATGTCCGTCGTTTGCGCTGTTTTAGTTTTGGAAATATTAACGATTATTTTAAAGGTCAAATTTGGGGTCAACAGCCTCCAGGAAACGTCAAAATTTAATAAAACGACACAAAATGGAGTCAAACGACCTGAAAAAGAGCCAGAAAAGAGCCACGGTTACACAAAAGAGCTACACAAGAGCCAGAGAAGAGCCACAGTTACAAAAAAGAGCCACGGTTACACATGAGAGCCACGGTTATACACAAGAGCCAGAAAAGAGCCACGGCTACACAAAAGAGCCAGAGAAGAGCCACACAAGAGCCAGAGAAGAGCTGGAGAAGAGCCAGAGAAGAGCCACAGTTACACCAAAGAGCCACACAAGAGCCAGAGAAGAGCCACAGTTACATAAAAGAGCCACACATGAGCCACAGTTACACAGAAGAGCCACAGTTACACAAAAGAGCCAGAGAAGAGCCACAGTTACACACAAAGAGCCACACAAGAGCCAGAGAAGAGCCACAGTTACACACAAGAGCCACACAAGAGCCAGAGAAGAGCCACAGTTACATAAAAGAGCCACACATGAGCCACAGTTACACAAAAGAGCCACAGAAGAGCCACAGTTACACAAAAGAGCCAGAGAAGAGCACACAAGAGCCAGAGAAGAGCCACAGCTACACACAAGAGCCACACAAGAGCCAGAGAAGAGCCACAGCTACACACAAGAGCCACACAAGAGCCAGAGAAGAGCCACAGTTACACACAAGAGCCAGAGAGCCACACATGGCCAAAAAGAGCCACAAGAGCCACAGTTACACACTAGAGCCACGGTTACATAAAAGAGCCACACATGAGCCAAAGAAGAGCCACAGTTACACACTAGAGCCACACAAGTGCCACAGAAGAGCCACAGTTACACACAAGAGCCAGAGAAGAGCCACAGTTACACACAAGAGCCAGAGAAGAGCCACAGTTACACAGTTTGTGTTTCGTTTGTGGTTCAGTTTTATTTTTGTCGTCCGGCTCCTCAAAAATGTGAAAAAGCCTCAAAACTGCAGAAAATGAAACCAGACATTTGTATTTGTTTTGTGTGACTGTTTTCATTTGTGTGAGTTTATTTCTAAATTTATTCTTTATTTTTTTATTTTGTAAATTTAATTATGTCATTTCTGCTCAACTGACGACAGCGACTTTAAAAACTCTACAAAAGAGAAGAGAAACGACGTGAGTCTGTGGAAAAGTTTGTGTTTTTATAGAAAATATGAATTAAAATCGAGTTGGTTTAGTTGTAGTTTATCATGTTTTAGTCCTGACGGAGTCCAAGTTTAGTCCTGGTTTAGTTTAGTCCTTTATGACCTTATGTGGTCTTGGTTTACTCTTGGTTCAGTCCTGGTTCAGTCCTAGTTTAGACCTGGTTTAGTCCTGGTTTAGTCCTGGCTTAGTCCTGTTTTAGTCCTGGTTTAGTCCTAGTTTAGTCCTAGTTTAGACTGGTTTAGTCCTGTTTTAGTCCTGATTTAGTCCTAGTTTAGTCCTGATTTAGTCCTAGTTTAGACCTGGTTTAGTCCTGTTTTAGTCCTAGTTTAGCCCTGGTTTAGTCCTGGTTTAGTCCTGGCTTAGTCCTGTTTTTAGTCCTGGTTTAGTCCTAGTTTAGTCCTAGTTTAGTTTAGTTTTAGTCCTGGTTTGTCGTTTAGTCCTGATTTAGTCCTAGTTTAGTCCTGATTTAGTCTAGTTTAGACCTGGTTTAGTCCTGTTTAGTCCTTAGTTTAGCCTGGTTAGTCCAAGTTTAGTCCTGGTTTAGTTTAGTCCTTATGTTAGTGGTCTTGTTTAGTTCAGTCCTGGTTCAGTCTAGTTTAGACCTGGTTTAGTCCTGGTTTAGTCCTGGCTTAGTTTTTTAGTCCTGGTTTAGTCCTAGTTTAGACCTGGTTTTAGTCCTGTTTTAGTCCTGTTAGTCCTAGTTTAGTCCTAGTCCTGGTTTAGTCCTGTTTTAGTCCTAGTTTAGCCTGGTTTATAGTCCTGGTTTAGTCCTAGTTTAGTCCTAGTTAGTACTGATTTGTCCTAGTTTAGACCTGTTTTAGTCCTGGTTTAGTCCTGTTTTAGTCCTAGTTTAGTCCTGGTTTAGTCCCGTGTTTGGGTCTGGGACTAAACCAGGACTAAATCAGTATTAAATCAGAAAGTCGGAGGCTCCCAGGTCGGTCACTCGAGTCATTTCCAGGTCAGTGGACAAAGTCAGAGTCTCCACAGATACAAAAGTCAGTTGTGTGTGTTTTGTGTGTGTTTTGTGTGTTTTGTGTGTGTTTGTTGTGTGTGTGTGTGTGTGTGTTGTGTGTGTGTTTTGTGTGTTTTGTGTGTGTTTTGTGTGTGTTTTGTGTGTGTTGTGTGTGTGTTTTGTGTGTGTTGTGTGTGTGTTTGTGTGTGTTTTTGTGTGTGAGTGCGGCGCTCGGCCTGAGGGGGCGACGCACAAAACTGACCCGGAAAACACTTGAAGAAGAAAAGGAAGTGTGTCAGTGTGACAAAAGACGAGTTTAGAACAAACTCAGGGTTAAACTCAGATTCAGACAGAAATACAAGAAAAACAAAAACACCACGTGTCAGTTTGATCTGATCTTTCGCTCTCGTTCACCAAACATTTGTACCATTAAATTTGTACTTAAACTTAAAACTTTAAACCACTTCTTCTTGTGCAGTTGTTTTAGTCCTGTTTTAGTCCTGGTTTAGTCTGTTTTAGTCCTGATTTAGTCCTGGTTTAGTCCTGTTTTAGTTTTGGTTTAGTCCTGTTTTAATCCTGATTTAGTCCTGGTTTAGTCCTGTTTTAGTTTTGGTTTAGTCCTGTTTTAGTCCTGGTTTAGTTCCTGGTTAGTCCTGGTTTAGTAGTCTGGTTCTGGTCCTTTTTATCCTGTTTTAGGCCTGTTTAGTCCTGAGTTTAGTCCTGTCCTTTTTAGTCCTGTTTTAGTCCTGGTTTAGTCCTGCTT